AAAAAAATCCAACTATTTTCGTTAATCGACTTCTTTAGCTATCGGAAAGGAAAGTTGGCTTGGAGAAAAAGGAAACCTATTCTGTAAATGATCCCTTAAAGCACCTTCGATTCTTGCTTTCTCTGCTTCAAACCATTTCGGCGAAACGAGTGACGACGCATACCTTTTCTTTCTTATTTTCTCCGTCAGGTATGTATTTCTCATCGCTAATTCCACTGACTGTTTTACGATGGACTATCTACTGAAAAATCTATGGATTCTTTTCGATTCTGAGCCGTCTTTACACTTTAGGGCCACAAATTTTGATTTCTGGAAATGAAAATTCACATTCATCCCTTTCCATCATGCCCAATCCAAACGCGCTATAGTCCTACTGAATCAGTGAAAAGTTTTAGATTGTTGGTAATGGTGCATTTGGTCTGGGTCTATCCTTTTTTATCCTCTAATTTGGTCATCCATCATTTTCTCGCCCTGTATGCTTATATATATATATATATATTTTTTTTTTTTCGAACAAAAAAACTGTACGCTTACTCTGGGTAAGTTTATTCCGAGGTAGAATTAGGGGAAGAAACTACTGATCGTCATTTGTTCAGCTAAATCTTTTGTAAAAAGTAACTGAACAGATGTAGAAGATAGGCCGGGGGGAGAGAAAAAGAGAGTGTTGGCAGCATTGCATCTCATTGGGGATGGGGGAAGGGAACCAAAAGTAAGATACAAATCTTGGGAAATATGTTTTTGATGAACAAACCACCCCAACAGTATAGGGCTTGTCACAATTGTACCAATGAATTTTCAATTTGAGCAATTATACCTTTTAAGTTGCTTTGGCGAAGAAATTGGCCCCTTTTGTTTCAACTGTAATTTGTTTAAAGGTTCCACTTGTGAGCATACACGTGGGCTGATTCGTCTCCTTCCAAAAAATGTTAGGTGTCACCCTTTGCAAAGAACATGGGAAGTTAAAATGAGGAGGCTGAAATGTCGGTGTAGGGAGGTGGAAATGAAATAGAGATAGGGAGAGAGAAAATGCGGTATAGATATAGAAACAGAGAGAAGAGAGATGGATAGGGAGAGGTAAAGGTAGAGAGCGGTAGGGACATATAGAAATAAAAGAGACACTATGTTAGTTAGATTTATGAAGATAAAAGAGAAAATGCATTAAGAGAAGTGAAGGGGAGATGGAGAGAGAAACTGTGGTAGAAGATTGAAGTATATACACACACACATATATATTAATATATTGACTGGGATAGAGATTGAGAGATAAAAAGAGAAATTGTCTCTCTAATAATTTCTCGCTCTCTGGAAGTTACTCTCTTTTAACCTTTAATTCTGAGTCTATGTCTAGCATTTTTTTTGTTCTTTCTGATTCCCTTACTCGCTAACACAGTTTCTTTTTTATCTCTCTATCTCTGTCTATGAATCTCTCTTTCTTGGCCTCTCCATCTCTATCTATTTCAATCTCTCTACCACAGTTTTTCTCCATAAGAGATTTTGGCCTCCCTACACCCACATTTTGGCCTCCTCATCTAGTGCTCCCTCTTCGTGTAATCATATAAAAAGTGCGAGATCCTATCATTTTAGGAAGATGGAGACTCATTGGTACATTTGTCTTCTCACATGAGATAGTTTTAAACAGACACACTAGCAGTAATAATGGAAGGGGGCCAAATTATTCACTTATGCAACTTTTGAGGTGTAATTGCTCAAACAAAAAATCTGAGGGTGCAAATGTAACTTGTCTTATAGATCAGGAGTGGTTTTTGAAAATTTTCCTAATTTTTTGAGAATACTCATATAGTGTCAACTTATTTGTCCCATGCCATGTTTGCCTCCCATCTTCTTATCCATGCCACTCAGATTGGGACCATCATCCCTTGCCAGATTATCTATCCTTAATTCTCTGTTCCTCTTCCACCTCTGCACAAACAGGATAACAAATAATGTCTCGAAGGTATGATAGCCGAACAACGATCTTCTCTCCAGAAGGCCGTCTTTACCAAGTTGAATATGCAATGGAGGCAATTGGAAATGCCGGTTCTGCAATTGGGATATTATCTAAAGATGGGGTTGTCTTGGTAGGTGAAAAGAAGGTTACATCCAAACTCCTGCAGACCTCAACTTCCACTGAGAAGATGTACAAAATTGATGATCATGTTGCATGTGCTGTGGCTGGAATTATGTCCGACGCCAACATATTGATCAACACCGCAAGGGTTCAAGCCCAACGCTACACTTATGCTTACCAAGAGCCAATGCCTGTTGAGCAACTGGTTCAATCTCTCTGTGATACGAAGCAAGGCTACACGCAATTTGGTGGTCTACGCCCCTTTGGTGTTTCTTTTCTTTTTGCAGGATGGGATAAGAATTATGGCTTCCAACTTTACATGAGTGACCCGAGTGGAAACTATGGTGGTTGGAAGGCTGCTGCAATTGGTGCCAACAACCAGGCAGCACAGTCAATGCTTAAACAGGATTACAAGGATGATATCACTAGGGAAGAGGCCATCCAGCTAGCACTTAAGGTGCTTAGCAAAACCATGGACAGCACAAGTCTTACTTCTGACAAGCTTGAATTAGCTGAGGTTTTCCTCTCACCTGCTGGAAATGTCAAGTATCAAGTTTGCTCACCAGAGTCCCTAAGCAAGTTGTTGGTGAAGTCTGGTTTGACTCAACCAGCTGCTGAGGCTTCCTAGACACTTTATTTTGGACGTAACACCTCCTTTTCGATGTTGCACTTGTGCTTGGCCTGGCATGTCTCATGGTCCTTCATATTACTTGAACTGAACAGCGGTGGTATGTTATGTTTTTGGATTGACAGATTATCTTTATCATTTTAAAAGTTTTCTCCTGTCTTTTGTGTAACCGTGTTAGGAACACTGGTCATTGTCTCTACAATGCACAATTATCGAGTTATTTTATTGTGTTATCTCTGCCCTGTTGCTTGATGAGCACTGTAGGGAGAAGCTTCCTTTGTGATAAACGAATATGAGAGGAAGAAGCTGCCCCTCCTAGGCATGGAGAAAGAGACAGAAGAAAGGAAAATACTTGTGTAAATGGCAATACTTTTCCATTTACGTCTGTTGGAATAAGGAAGTTATCCAAAACTTGCTTTAATTAGAGATATTCTGGAAACTTGTCATGATCATGAAGCATTTTTCTTGAATTGGATACTATTTTAGCAGCGGAACTGAAGAGGATCTGATCCTTTGAAGTGACCTGTACCTGGCTCTCCGTGGCATCAAATTCGATCAACTCGTATGGTTTAAGTTAGGATAATTTGCAACCCGAGTAAATATCTCTAGTTCTACAGCGTCTTTAATGTTTATAAATCATCCGATCACAATATTTAGAAGCTATTATGTTTTGGTAAGGCCGAGTTCTTGTTTATGCATGGTTGGTGATATTGACGATGGGACAAAGGCTGTGTTTTGGCATCTGAGCAATGATGGCAACCAGAGTCACAGACAACACACAGCAAGCAAGCAATCAGATAAAGAGGAGGCAAATTTGGTGCCTTTCTTTTTCAATGAGCATAAGAATAGAATAATGAAAGAGCCTTTTGTACTGTGTAATCAAAAGCTGATGGTGACCATCTATATCTATCCTTACGATATAATTGCGTCACCAATTCCTTCGCTTTGATTTAATCATTTTGGGATTTCCAGGTGGAAAAAGTATAAGAATCCCATATCATTAGACACCTTAATTTAAGCCCCTTTTTGGGTTCTCCAAATAAATTAATAAGCTTCTATATCACTCCTTTTGCTTTTTCTAGAACAGCGAATCACTCATATATACGTCTTTAATTAAATATCTTTAATTAAATAGAGATGTAACGATAACCTCGTCAGTCTTGTCTAATTATAGTAAAATATTTTTACCTTATTCAAATATCTCAACTATTTGAAACGGTTGATTTCATCACTTTTACCGAAACTTGCTCGACTCGAACCAATATGATTGAAAAATTTACAATTTTTACCTTTTCAAAATTGGCAAAGCTAAGAAAGGAAAAGGAACAAAACATTAGGGGGATTCTTCTTGGAGACAACTAGGGAAAAAGAAGATGAAAAAGCAGTCAAGGGAAGAACAATGATTGTGTAAGAAAATTAAGAATGGCCCACATGATCATTCAATTGGGTAGCAAAGAACAAAAAACAATCATCATTCTGTTTCAAAGCAGCACCTTATCAATGGGTTTCCCACTCAATACATTGCAATATTAAACTAGAAAGATTCTTGGGGATCAATGGCCTCAAAAACCCTTATAAATTCTCATCATAATGCATAGAAGGCCTTCATACTTTTCTCTCCTCTATTTCAATCACTTGCTTTCCATTTGTCATCATTCTTTGCTTTCTCTGGAGTTCTATAATGTTTGAGTTAGGATCGGGTAATCTGCATCCTGAGGTTTAGGGAGTTCATTAATCAGTTTGAGTGATTTTGTTTTGGTCATATATTGATCGCATGCTTACATCTTCCCTAGTCCTTGGGATGCAGATTATCTCTTCCTGATTGACAATTCAGGAGTTGGTTTGATCAATTTGTCTTTTGTTGTCTCCTTCAATTCCTTAATTTATGCAACTTTTCTCAAGGTACTTCTATGATCTTTGTCATTATTTAATAACTTTTGAAGGGCAGGAAAGTTTAATTATGGATAAGTTCTTTATACTAACCTATGTTTCGGAGGTAAGTTAATCAGCCCCATAACCACCTCTCAATCTTATCATGATTAAGGTTGTTTTTGTTGGTATGGAATGGATAAATTTATTATGAAACATTGAAATATTATTTCCTCAATGAGATCATGACTATATGCTAGTTTACGTTGGTCTGGTTTTGCTGATCAATTTTGTTAATTTCCATTGGTTTGGTGGGTTTTCAGTTAAGTCATTGGCGTTTAGTTTTTCCAAAAGTTGATTTCTATGTTGGTTTTTCATTTTTCTTAACTTCTTATAATAAAATGTTTCAATAGGTCGATTTAGTTGGTTGTGTTTTTCTATGTTTGGCAGCTTTGGCTATGGTATCATGGTATCAATACATAACAAAATGATATAATTAACATAATTACAGAGATTATCATTTCTTTTAGTTTAACGTCACAGGATCAAAGCCAAGATGAACTAAGTTCAATGGTGATTGACACTTGTCTCTAATCAATAAGTTATGAGTTCGAATCTTCCTATTCCACTTATTATACTAAAAAACAGTATAAGAGCAAAAACATTACCACTTTCATATTCAACTTTTACGGTGTAATTCTTTTAGCAGCTATCTTTGTATATTTTTATCTCAAGCTAGAATTTTAGTCACTCTCGTGACTTTACTAGAACTTTGCCCTTAGATACATTTTGATTAGGGTAAGACTCAAAATTATTTAAATCAAATATGAAGTATACAATTGTTAATTGAAATTGAAATAATGAAATATATATGGTATGGACATTTCTAAAACAAATTTTCTAAAATTATATTACACGCTTCGCATTGAATTTAAGCCTTTTCATCACTTCTTAGATAAGCGGATTACCACTGGAAGGAGGAAATTACCTCTTCAAATCTTCATATCATGTCGAGGTGGAGCAGCTTGATTATTTCTGTTTGGGGAAGAGAATACCCTGGACACGTGGAGGACCCCTATTGGTGCTCCAAGATGACTCATGAGTCATGCCCAGCTCGGACGGCCGAGATCACCACCACTAGGGTTGACAGATGCTAAGTATGAGGGCCGAGGTGAACCTGGCCGAGGTCCGACCTACCGGGAAGCTCGGTGGGGGCCGATGTGAGCTACTGTCAGCGGCGTGATTATCGGGTATAACCGACGGTCCCGAGATTACCGGGTGTAACCGACGGTCCCGAGATTACCGGGTGTAACCGTCGCGAGATTAGCGGGACTACCACCCATAAGTAGAGGACTTCACTGCACGATCAGGTACGATGATTTCTGACCTCGAACTAAACTGTGAATCCGACCTATACTGACTTGATCGTCGGAGTGCTCACCTTTTTGTGCAGGTCCGCCCAAGTATTCAGATCGGTCTGGAGGCCGAGTTCGAGCTGCAATCTGAAATACATTGTGGTGCATATCCTTGCATAAACAATTTCAATATAAGTATATATGCTTTAACAGATTGATTAGGCTCAGATTGACATCACACATGCCACTCAATTAACATACTACTCTCTCAAAATCATATAATCCATAACATGTAATCTTCCTCATATTCTTCTATGAATTATTTTAATTTTTATTTATAATCAACCTTGTGATTGACAAGTTCATGATTACATACTCTGTCGGAACCTGATGAATATTAATATGGTATCAGAGTCCAAAAGCTCAAACGCCACAATCACTTATTCACGTTGAGACTTGAATATGTGTCCTTCATATTAATGAAGACCCTCTTCTTTACCAATATATCGAGCTACTTCACCTAATTAACCATGGTTAGATAGTTGCTTTAGCACACATCACTCTATAGTATCAGTTGAACCCCTTAAACAACTTAATTTTTTTACAAGCTATCAAACGATTGATATTTAAATTATTTTGACATGTATAATAACCCAGTATTATCATTAAACTTTAATGTAGAGTTTGGATTAGATTTTCTTTTTCATATATAAATCTAATGTGCAGATCAAAATGTCTTTTTTTAGTGTCATTATTTAGAGCAAAAGTTGATCTTTATCTTTGGTGGAAAGTATATCCCCAATTGGACTAAATTATTTTTTTAGTCTTTTAAAGGAAATTGGAGACCAAATCATTCCAGAAAGTAACTGACGTTCCTGTAAACCAACATTAGTGTTGGCTTTGATCCACATTTGAATATATACTTTATTCTTCTATATCTTCTAATTACAACTTGGATTCCTTTTTCTTATAATAATAATGTTATAAACAAAGATATGGTGTTGGTTATTGATTTTTTTAATTATTAATTTTCTTGAATCATATGCAATGTTTTAATGTCGAATATTATAATCTAGGTACATTATTGAAGAGATCAAACTAATGTGGCAGTTTTTTGTATTAATCATTCAAATGAGATGAAATAAAAAAGTAATTGAAAATTAGATAGGTTATGGGAAATATCGTCATATTGAAATTTATGCCCAACATTACGTACAAAAGTCAATTAAATTTAATTGCTTGAATGGATTTAATTCACAATGACATGAATTAGATAGGCCTAACTTGAATAGATAATGATATGAAATTGTTTGCCTTAGGCATCGTCTTTACGACTTTGCTTTTAGTTTCATCCCAAAAGCTTTATACTAATGGAGATAATTGTCGATTATACTCTTCCCTAACCAATGTGAAACTTTTTTGTTTGCATTCCTCTTACTAACCCAACAATATTATCAATAAAAAAAATCGTAAGTTCAAATTCCTACCTCACATGTCGTTGCGAAAAAAAATTCTAAAATAGATAAAGATGACCCATGATGAAAGTCACAAGTTACTAATAGACTACCTTTTATTATTTCTCTAGTTTCTTTTTAAATTTAAAAAATGCACAATTGGGAAACATTCAAAGCTCTTATTCTTCTTTTGGCGTACCTACATTTATTTGGTAACATTTGAATGCTTTGCTGGTAATAACAGCCGTGACTATGTTATTTAAAATTTTGTTTAATTTTGAGCTCCAAACTTAAGATAAATATTTTTTTTAATTCAACGACATTTCAAGTGGGGATCTGAACCTTCAATATTTTAATTAAAGATTTTTGGTTTAGTCAGTTGAACTTAAATGGTTTATTTATTATATATTATATACATTCGGTGTTTATTCGAAAAATAATAAGTTAATATTTACAGAAGTTGATTCATCAGTGCTTCCCAAGGCTTAGTCGTTGCAACATAAAACAGCAAAAATAGACTACTCATGAAACCATATTTGCCTACCACAACTCACAAGACAAAAAGTATAAGGATAGCTTATAGACTGTTTTGGTCTTTAAATTTATATCTCTACATTCATAAGGTTATATTTTAAAGTTATAAATTAAAAAGAAAACAGGTTGGTCTACGAGGAATCTAGTCAGTTTTAATTGATTTGATTGTTAAGATACTGGTACACATCATCAATTAACAAATCATATACAGCAAGTTCCATTGGACAGTTCGAAATTAAAATTACAGTACAATCTAGAAATGAATATCTGCACAAGAAAGAGTTTATTGGGATAAGTGACTAAAATTCCATTGGACTTGGGAGGAACAGATCCACAAAGGTTGCAAAATTAAATGACTGCATTAAAGATCCTCATCAACCCCATAAATAAATTTTATCCATCAACATGAATCAAGAAAAAATAAAAAAATAAAGAGATAAAATCAGAAAAATAAAGATTTCTTTTTTTCCTGATAAAAATGAAAAATCTTTCCACAATCCAAACAAGAAAACGCAGAGTTTTCACGAACCCCTTTTTTCTATCCTAAAATTACCCAAAACCAAAGAGAGAATTTTTTTTTTTCGAAAATGTACAGGAAATTTGTAAATAAAGCTATCCATTTGGAAATTTAATTACCCATTTCGAGATCTGAGCAAGAAAATACTGAGTTCTTGACCTGGGCACTCGTCCGGGTTTATAAGATGAAACGATTCCGAGTCAGAACTCCCCACCACGTGCTCATAATTAGCTCTCATATACATCACCTCCTCCGAACCCGACCCGAATCCGGATGGAATAACGCCCGCCCCGACCGTCGTCGATTGCATAGTCTTGAGCATGAATCGGACCCGATCCCCGGCCTTTTTCCTCGCCGCGAACCCGAGTTTCCGGCCGTTGCAGGACATTCCCCAGACGGGTATCGAACGGAGCGGGCACAACCCGAGCTCGACCCGGCTGCACTCCAGGGCGATTCGGACGAGTCCGAATCGCATTTCGTTGACGAGTTGGTGCGTCAGAATCGGGAACTCGAGTAGAAGAAACGGCTTGGTCCGGAGGCGGTCGTGTTGGACGCAGAACCACACGTGCCCGCGCCGGTTGCCGAAGATTGTTCCGATGACCATGGATTTCGACGGGCGCGGTGCGGCCATGACGGCGGCGGCGGCGAACTTCGGCGTGGCGCTGTCGGGAGTGGTGGCCGGAGATCCTTGGGGGGAATCTTGGTCTTGGGTTGGATCGCATTTGGTGGCGGCGGTGGTTTCGATGTCGTCGCGAAGGGAGGTGCTTAGTCTTTTCTTGGGGGCGGCGGAGGTGGCGGTGGCGGTTGCGCCGGCGGCGGGGGGAAAGAAACAAGGAAGAAGGAACCGACGTAGGGCGTCGATTTTGGCCATAATTTTTCTYYTTTTTTTTTCCCTTTTGGCAGAAGAGAGAGGATCTGGGAGTTTTATATAAGGCTCTGATCGGAAATAACTTTTTTTTTTTTGGGAAAAAAGGAGTACAGTGTAGAAAATATATATATATATATATATCTGACGCGGGAACTGAAATAGCCGTTGGGATTAAATTTTACTTGCTAGATAGCAACACTTGTTAACTCCTGAATGGTCCACGTCGCCATTGCCAGTGTGCTAGATTTGTTAGGTTTAAATCTGATTTTTTTTTAGTATGGTTTGAATCTGATTATACTATTGGTATATTCGATTTTCATATGTGTTATATTATATGTCAAAAAAAAAAAGATATGTGTTATATTATATTTTGATACTAATTCAACTTTGAATACTGTTTGTTATTTTTGTTTTCAAATTTATTGGAGGGGGTGGATTACATTTATTTCTTAAAACTGTTTTTAGATTTACAAATTTTCAATTTGAAATTTTAAAATGCATAAATATATTTGAAAATATAAAAGTTTTGATAAATATAATATTTTATATTATAAACTTATTTAGGAGATGAAATAAACATAAAATTTAGAGGTCAAAATGGAATTTAAATTGGACTTTTATTTTTTATCTTTTAAATTTGCTGATTTTGTGAATATATATATATATATATATATATATATATATATATATATATTCTTTTTTAAGATTAGAAAACAGGTAAGTTGAGAGATTCGAATTCACGATCTCTTGGTCAAAAGATAATTATCCGACTTCTAAAATTTTTTTCACTGATCATAAATGTTTTTATTTAATAAATTCACAGTTGTCAACATTATGTTATCATGGTTATTCATTAATCATTAAAACATTTATTTTATCCAATGACAGATCCTCTACTTTTCCACTCCCTTAAATCCTGTTTTAAAATTGAAAGTAGAACAGTAATTAAAATATTATTTTCGTAAAAAATTCATGATGCAATCCATGAGTTTGTTGCTTCCATAAAGTTATATGTTTTTTTATATGAAAAATAATAATGATTAAAAAGTTATTTTATAATTGAAAAAATCAACATCCACTTATAATAATATATATAATCAATAAAATGATGAATCCTACGTGTCATTTATAGTAAGAGAAAAAGAAAAACGCAAAATATAAACAAGTTTTTTTGTTCCTTAATTATAATTGACCACTCATCAAATGATGTAATTTGCCTAAGTTGTTAACACTATATATATATGGCTCGAACCGAGGACGGAAGAGATATAGAGAGGCAATACATCCACTACACCACTCACGAATCTTTTGAGTTAAAGCTACTAAATAATATATAATATAAAACATTATACTTTTTTTTTCAGAAATAAACCGATCGGGTGGTYGTTTCTTGAAGAGACGACTAACGTTCAAATTTTAAAAAAAAATTTACGTGGCGCCACGTCTAAATGGTCGTCTCAGAGACGACCAACGTTTTTTAAAACTACAATATTTTTAAAATAAGTTTCAAAATTTACAAAATTTTTAATATTTTTAATTAAACAACTATATTTTTAAAACAAGTTTCATTTA